CACAAGACAAATTGCCTTTTTGTCAGAATGGCATATGTGTCAGGAAAAAGAGTTGCTTCATCTGAACAGTTTTTTAATTTTTTTCTTGTCTTCATTTTTTCTTCTTGAAGATCAATATCCTTAAGCTGTTGGTAGAGAAGTGTGTAAGGGGATGGAAAATATTTTCAGTGATTAAAAGGTGAATTTGTGAGGATAAAATGCTCTGGGAATGTTTCAGATTTTCATTTTCAGAAGTACAAAATAGCTCCCTTCCCACAAAACCAGACCAATATTAAAATTAATGTATCTGTATATTTCCTAGAATTATTTGATTTACTCTTGTTAATACAGAACTGGTGTCTCAATCGCTTTGTTAAAATATATACACTAAGTGGTAAATATAATTTCCTTCCATCGTTTTAGCTATTATTATTTACATTTTCATGCTGAATTAATGGGACCAAGTTCTCTGTTGCCGTAACTCAGTTGACCTGAATGGAGTTATGCCAGCAGAGAATCTGGGCTGTGTTCTATGTAGTATAGCTTATATAGCTACCCCTTCCCCTTCAGTTTCAACCTTGTTGTAACTAAGCGTATTCTTGACAACATTGTTATATAGTCAACAGATGTGTCACAGAAATTCAAAACTGGGGGCTTTCTGTTACCAAAGTCTATATCCCCCCCGCTTTTTTTTATTGTGTCATCTAGTTAACAAAAAGCCAGAGAGATTCCTTTAAAATTAAAATAATGACAATGCACAAAAACCTACTGTTGAAACATCCAGAGCTTGCAGAGAGGCCTGCTGGAAGTTGCGCAATCATACTTATATTCATGTAAGTGTATTTTCTTCCTAAATATTATTTCACAAGCTTTAAAAATTATGCTGCTTTTTGAGAAAACATAGACCATCTACTGTGTATCGGAGATCTACAATGATCTTGTCATTCAAATAATAAGCAGAACTGTAAATTAAAAAAAAAAGAGAGAGAAGAAAAATGTGATTATATGATATAATCCTCCAGTAATCAATTTTACCTACACTATCTTGCTTTTGTTTTTAAAACGCTAAATAAACAATACATAATGCATTCCTCGTCAGCCAAAACCATGAGGGCTCTGTGCTCAAATAACAGGAAACATATTCAATTTTCCTAACAGAAGACAGTTCATTAAGCTGTGCCACATCAAATAAAACTTTAATTTCTCCAGCATCAGAGTCGCAATGAAAGCAATTGAGGAAGATGAGCCATATGGTACTTCTATCAGCAAACACATATTGCTCATTCCCCCAAAGTTTTCTAATTCTGCTCCCCAGACCTGTGTAATATAGATAATGTGCTCTGAGAGCAGCAACCATGAGCTATCTGGTGTACACTTCTAATACTGTATTTAATGGGAAATAATGAATCATAAAAGCCTGCAGAAGACGGCTTTTGCTAACCTAAATCTCAGCTGTAATTTCATTGTTCTGTGCCTAAGATGCTGTTTGCCCTTTCCAAACAACAGCAGTTGAACGTAATTATGCTGCTTCGAACCTGGGCTTGAGGAGAAAACCTTCATAATATAACTAAGTTTCTGTTAACTCTTGAAATTCTGAACTTGATGCAACTCTAATTCCTACAGGAGAAGTTTGTATGATATTTTAGGTTCATAAAATTATATATAAATATTTTTTTCTCATGGACAGCTACAAAAATTAAGTTTAATACTCCCTAATCTGGCCCTAAAATGCAACAGGAGAGATCTACTAAAAATTAGGAAATCTGCTTGACATTGGGAAATCTGGTATAACATCTGTAAGTGCCAAAGCCGTGTAAGTGAACACAATAAAAGATTAATATTTCTGGGTTTTTACTTTTTGTCAGTTACAAAAACTGGAGTTAAAGTGTTGAGTAAAAACTGAACTAACCCATTTAAACTTCATAATGTTTATACTTTTCTTATAAATTCGTAATGATCTATTTACTTAAATTAGCAGGCCAATATTAAAATAGTATTGGTACAGTATATTGTCTTGTATTTTTTCCTCATCTACTTATTAAGTAAATGTATGTGCATGAAAGGATAAGTTTATTTTTAAAGATGTCTATAGATAAAAATATGTATTAAAGTTTATTGACTCAATACAGTTGAAGATAAATATGTTATTTTGATATGACCTAAAACTTGGACAATTTCTTAAACTCATCTGAAGTAGCTTCCCCCTCAAAATATAGGACTAATTTAAAACATTGTCTAGATAGGCTACTTATACATATTGAAAATATATTTTAAGTGGCTGTGTTTGTTCTGGCAATATATGAACCAAAACCAATTAAATTAAAAAGGGAGACTTTTAAAAGTTAGAGATTGCCTTTTAAAAGCTTATTAAAATCAGCATGTTACATGTCTGTCTTTGAATTAGCTTTACAGACTTGATTGCCTTCATTAAAGCTGACTGTTTGGGCGCTGCTCCGTGAATGTTCAAGAGTCTGCATCTCGCGCCCCCCCCGCCCAAAGCTGATTCTCACTACTTGTCAGTGTGTATTGTCTCCCAATAGAATTTAAAAGAATCTGTATTTTACAGAAGAAAAACTCACCCCATATGAAATATTACCACAAAACATTGTCATTAACACAAGAAAAAAGACCAACAGGTAAAATAACTACATTAAGATCTAAGACAAATAATAATAATAAATAATAATAATAATAAATAAATAATATTATAATAATAATTAATACTGACCCCACATTGATTAAACATTTGTTTTAAGGCATTCATGAAATATAAACAGTTTTTTGAAACAGTGCAGAAAACCTCTGCATGCTCCGATGGGTTACAATAACAATGGTCTATTGCAATGTAAAACAAGCTGGAGGATAAAAAGGTGCTTTTTGTTACCATTTTATCAAAGCTGTTCATCTTCTAGCTGCAGGCAGCATTTTGCAGGAATTGCAGATATTTCTCTGTCCAGGCTCCTTTGTTTGTGCATCTCATTTGCATATATTTATCTCCAGCTGAGGGTGCTTTCAGCTCATTAGGGCCACCCCCCTCACATTATTTCATAAGCCAGCTGCTAGGAGGGATTTCACCTGTGGTGACTGAGAAAAGAGGGGTGAAAAACCAAATTCTTCATAAAAAGGAAATCTTCTGACTCTCTTCCCCTATAAATGGGCACCATTTGTGTTAAACAGCCTCTTGTCATGATAGATGCCTCCAGGGGTCAGGGGTTAAAGTTGATTTGAAGGTCAGCAGTAAAACAACAGACAAACCAGACGCCAAACTGGTTCCTTAGCTGTCGGTGGGAGCAGTGGTACAACCAGGTCTTGAACCTTTTTCAACCTCTAATAAAACAGGGGAAGAATTTGAAGTGGATCAACCAGGCCCCTGAGGAAGCCGCACAGAAAAACACAAATAATATCAATATCAAGCAGCAACAGGAAACAATGGGCTAGCTCTCAGTGCTACATGCATGCTTCTATTGTTTCAAGAGCTAGGGAATTAATTCCACTTATTTATTTAAGGCGTGTCAACTCACTGCCTAAACCTGTTTCAGTGTCAAGATGAATAAAACTTTTATGGCTCATAAAATAGAGCCATTCATCTCAATGTTCTTTGTGGTGCCTTTTTTTTTTCTGGCAGACTGAGCTAGGCCTCTGCTTCAAATGGTTACATCCGAACATACTGTTGCTATGAACTGCACCTTATTAGAAAAGAAAATTATTTGATTGGCAAATGGGTATCAGCAGAACCAATAAAAAAAAAGTATTTTAGCAGCCTTGTAATAGCCCCCCCAAATTCTCATAGACACTTTTTACTCGCCTGAATCCACTTCCCGTATGACTTCTTTCCACAGAAAAAATGATTTGATCCTAAAATAGCAAAAGAAAAAGATAGCACAAAATAGCACAGTAAGAAATCACTTTAATATTATAGGTTTCAGAGTAGCAGCCGTGTTAGTCTGTATCTGCAAAAAGAACAGGAGGACTTGTGGCACCTTAGAGACTAACAAATTTATTAGAGCATAAGCTTTCGTGGACTACAGCCCACTTCTTCGGATGCATACATTTTATTCCACTCTATATG